GCTTCTAGCCCACACTAGGTTCCAAAAACCCCTTTTTCCTCCAACAAACAGTTCTCTGGCAATCACAACTCTCAACTTTTGTTTGAAAAAGGTTGTTCTTATTTGTAGAGAGCTTTAGAGAACCTTAAGTAGACGGATTAGGGTTTGGGAATTGGGAATTTTCGAAACCTGGTGAATTGGGACTAGGGTTTTCGAAACTTGGTCCAATTTTGAAATTCAAAAAACATATCTGACTGAAATAATCGATTATCTTGAGTGTTAATCGATTATTATAGAGCCAAAATCACCAGGAACCCATAACCACGCGGTTTAATCGATTATTTGAGTTGTTAATCGATTAACAAGGGATTTAATTGATTATTCCAGAGAGCTGATACAGAAAATGGTTTTTCTCTCTGTAATAATCGATTATCTTGCCATTTAATCGATTAATCTAGTGTGTTTTTGATAAAAATGAGTTTTTGAAGCTTTTAAAGAGTAGACTATGTGCTGGCTATCTTAGACTCTAATATTACAGACTCAAAATCATCAAAACAAAGTTATTACATAATATTACAAGTCTTCAAATCTTTACGTCCTTTGTTCTTGAATCATCATCAAAATCTACAGGCTTCATATCCATGTATGTTCAAAATTCATATCCTTGTATGTTTCAACAGCACGCTCACTCAGTTACAAATGGTGCGTGTCAATGGAATCTACGTGCACAAAGATGACGCTCCTAACATGGCTGAAAATGCTGAAGATTCTGATGAAGAGATGTCTGCTGCTGAGTTTCCTACTGAAAATATTCATACTGTTGGGACATCTTCTGCCCCTCCTACATCCCGTCAATCAATGGAAGATATGTTCTTTGATATGAATCAAAGAATGCAAGAATTCTTCACTATCTCTCAAGAACGGCATCAGGAAATCATTCGTTGTATCTCAGATGTAGATGATAGGATTTGTAACTTAGAGGATAGATTTGATGCTCAATTCAACAGCGATGAAAGTGAAGAGTTTTAATATTTTCCTCATATCTTGTTTGTAATTACTTTAATTTATGGAATAAAATTGGTATTTTTGCTTTGTTTGAGGGGGAGCTATTTTCTATATCTTATGCACTTATTGAGGGGGAACTTTCATTTTTTTTTTATCATAATCAAAATAGGGGGAGAAATTATTTAAAGTCTCTTATGTTTCTTATGTTTATTAAATTTAAATGTTGTTTGGTATGTTTAATGTTTTTGTTAAGTTGTAACAGATAAAACAGGTTATTACAAAAGGACTTTAAAGGAAATTTTGATCATCATCAAAAGGGGGGAGATTGTTGAACATACAAGGATATGAATGTTGAACATACATGGATATGAAACTTGTAGATTTTGATGATGATTCAAGAATAAAGGACTTAAAGATTTGAAAACTTATAATGTTATGTAATAACTCTGTTTTTATGATTTTGAGTCGGTAATATTAGAGTCTAAGATAGCCAGCACATAGTCCACTCTTTAAAGGCTCTAAAAACTCATTTTTATAAAAAACATACGGGAATAATCGATTAAATGGCAGGATAATCGATTATTACAGAAAGAAAACCATTTTCACTCTTTGCTCTCTGGAATAATCGATTAAATGCCCTATTAATTGATTAACTGAGATGTTAATTGATTAACTGGCCTGTTAATCGATTAATTGATGTAGTTTTTGGTCCTCTGCGAAAATGGCTCTGGAATAATTGATTAACACTCAACATAATCGATTATTTCAGTCAAATATGTATTTTGAAATTCAAAATTGGACCAAGTTTCGAAAACCCTATTCCCAATTCATCTGTTTTCGAAAATTCCCAATTCCTAAACCCTAATCTCTCTACTTCAGGTTCTTTAAGGCTCTCTGCAAATTAAACAACAACCTTTTTCATACAAAAGTTAAGAGTTGTGACTGCTAGAGAACTGTTTGTAGGAAAGAAAAAGGGGCTTTTGGAACCTAGTGTGGGCTAGAAGCGACAAGAATCACTGAGTGGGTTTCTTGGTAGATTGTGTGATATGCCGTCTCTAGGGAAAATTGTTCTTCATCCTTTGTGGAATCAAAGGAGGTGTTCATCTCTTGTGTGACTCAAGAGAAGTGTTTTCTTTACCTTACTTTTCATTTGTAATCTGTTTGTAAAATTGTGATTATAGTGACAACGTTAATCCTCTGTTTGAGTGATTAACAACTGGACGTAGGGTCTTTTGATCCGAACCAATATAAATCGACTGTGTAATATTCTATCCTTTCTCTATTTACTTTACACAACATTTTAATCGGTGAAATTTGGGGAAAATTTTCCCTAATTTTTTGTTTAAGAAACCAATTCACCCCCTCTTGGTTTTTGTCCGTAAACGCAAACATTCCGCTACGCGATTCTAACAATTAGCAAGTATGTATCTAAACCAACTGAGTTACACTTACAAGTGGCCAAAAAGAATTCTACGGTATCTCAAAGGAACTACAAGTTATGGAATTTTTTACAAAAGAGGAGGGGAAGAAAAATTATGTGCATTTATAGATTCCGACTATGCAGGAGATGAAGATGACTCTAAGAGTACATCTAGCAATGTGTTTTTATTCAATTGAGGAGTTGTGTTATGGATGTCCAAGAAACAACCAATTGTTACTCTCTCAAATACAGAGGCAGAGTTTGTAGTTGTAACTGCTAGTGCCTGTCCAACAATATTATTAAGAAGAATTCTGAGATTTTTAACTCTCCCTTAAGACAACCTCTTATTATGTGTGATAATTGTTCAACTATTAAACTTTTTGAATGACAGAAGTAAACATATCAAAGTACGGTTTCATTTCTAAGAGATCTCGTGAAAGAAAAAGAAATTGAGCTGGAATATTGTGGAACTCAAGAGCAAGTTGCACATTTAATGACTAAAGTCTTGGAATCGAGGCTTTCTTAGAAAGAAGATGGGGATGATTGATATCACTAAAATAAACTAAACTACATGTGCTACATTTAGTTTAAGGGAGGAAATGAAGCGATTTTTTAGTAGATTTGTTATTCTATTGGATATTTTGTTTCTATTTAATAAACCCTAGTCTACATGATACTCCAATTTTTTTAGGCTTAGCTTAAGTCATGTAGTTTGTTATACATTATGTAGGGGTCTGTGACACATTTTTGTATTAACTATATAATAGCTTATTTTAAATCAATAAACAGATAGTGTTTCTGCACCGAGTACATCCTATAAACACTTACATCTTTATTAATATTTTCTCAATTTTATTCTCAATTTATACTATTTTTTGTTCTTAATTGATTTTAAACCCTAAATCTTTTTTCATCAACTTTATTTGAAATCTTATAAAAATTTAAACAAATTTGTAATATTTGATCATATCTTTTATTAAATATTTTTATTTAGTCAAATTAAATCTTAAAATCAACCTATTCATTGAATTTATATTTATATTTAATTAATTAAAAAATAAAACATTTAAATGCATATAGAATTAAACATTAAATAAAATTAAAATACAAAAATAGAATAATAAATATCACTGTATTAAAATTCAAGAATTACTAAAATTATATTATATCCTTAAAAATAACATTATGGCGATATATGTTATTTATCATAAATATAAAATATAATTTATATAATTAAAAATATTTATTTAATGTACATTTTAATTATATAAAATAAACAGCTGTAATTTATATAAAGTCGTAGATTATTTCTTGTAACTTATAGTTGTTAAATGAAAATTCAGCACAGCACAAATTATCGAACGTATCAAAGAAGAGGAAACATCAAGAAAATGTTTTTTAAATTATCATATGAGATGATTCATAGAAGATTTTTTTTTTTAAGTAAATAAATCCTACCTAAATAAACATCAAGAGGAAATATCATGTGAAAACATTTTAATATTACGAAATATCATAAACAAGTTATTATATTTTAATAAAATACATTTTATATCCGTAAAACTTTATATTTGTTCTAGGCATTATAATAATTATTGTAAATATCAAATTATTTAAATTATAGTTTATATCCATTTATGTATAACTTATTAAAGAACAATAGTTAGAGATGATCAAATAACTTGTCTTTTAATATAGGAAAACGATTCTTTGACAACTGAAAACAAACATCCGTTCGACAACCGGGGTTAAAAAGAAATTAATTAAAAATAAGGGTGTGACTAGTTAAATTGTAGAGGGGTAGAGATGTAATATTGTAAAAATGGGGGATGTAATGGTAAAAAGTGAAATATTTCTTCTTCCCCTCGCTCTTGTTCTTCCTCTCGCTCTCGCTTGTCTTCTCCGTCTAGTTGTTCTTCCTCTCGCTCTCGCTTTGTCTATGTTTAAATATTCGGTTCTATTCATTTCGTTTAGGGTTTAATTTGGTTGTTTATTACGGTTTTGAATTCGTTTGCATTGTAAAGAAGAAGCATACAACAACCATCGAGGTTAATGTATTCTTTGCTTTCTAATTACTCACAGATTCTCTGTTCTCTGTTTTCGTTCACTGTTGACTATCTCAATAGTCATAAACATATACCATGACTGGCAAAAGAAAAAGCTCCAAGCGCAGCGACTTCTTCAAGTACCCAAACAGAGATGGGGAAGGAGGAGATAGCGACCTTAGATAGCGGTTAATTAGAACCGCTTTTAAAAATATATATTAGATAGCGGTTCGCTGTGAACCGCTATCTAAAGTATCGTTCAGATAGCGGTTGGCCAAATAACCGCTATCTAAAGTAATATATGTAAAGTAATCGACTATAATTGGATAATAATCGATCATAATGTATAGTTGAGATAGCGGTTGGCCAAATAACCGCTATCTAAAGTTATATATGTCAAAGTGATCGACTATAATTGGATAATAATCGATCATAATGTGTAGTTTAGATAGCGGTTGGTCAAATAACCGCTATCTAAAGTCATATACGTCAAAGTGATTGACTATAATTGGATAATAATCGATCATAATATTCGATCAGGGAGGAGATACCGGTTGGAGGAGAAGATAAGGACAGCTTTCTTCCATTCCACTCTTGCTCCAATCCCAATAGTCTGAGATTGAAGATGATGTCAACAGTTAGCCAAGAAGGTTTATGGCAAACTGGAAGGAGTGTTGAGAGATAAATGATCTACCTTAGGTAATGCTTTGTTTTCAGTGGGAACCGGTGGAGATTGAGGTGAAGGTCTTGTAGTCTCTGGATTGGTTGGAGTAGAGCTAGTACATCGGACACCTGCGCCAACTTGAGAAGAATGCTCATCTGAAATGAGAGTCGATGCAGCGGAGCGATTTGAGCATCATTGCTCGGTGTCACGGATTCCCCATGGTTGGCTTCAGGCTCTGCATCCGGTTAGGATATGTTAGAAGAGAAGGCTGAGATCAAGCCAAACTGTTTTTATAGAAGATTTTCAAAGCTGTTGGTTTAATTAATCTATTAAAAGATTCTTTTAATCTGTTAAAAGTGCAGTTTTAATGCGTTAAAACTTCTTTAACAGATTTGTTTTAATTGATACGACAACGTTTATATCAATTAAAACACTTTATAAAAAATCTTCCAAGTTGATTTAATCGATTGTTTCGCGATTCAATCGATTGAAATACAGCAAAACTTTCTTAAAAACTTTTCAAGTTATTTTAACTGATAAAAATAAGTTTTAATCGATTAAAACTCTGTACAGAAAATTTCAAAGTTTTTTTAATCGATTGAAACGAGATTTAATCGATTAAAAGAGTTACGATCGGTCATAACTAAATTCGATCGATCATAACTGACTCTGATCGGTCATAATTGTCTTCTAATCGATCATCCTGACCCTTCAAGTGATTTTAATCGATTGAAACGTGTTTTAATCGATTGAAACGTCAGTAAGTCATTGAAACATTGTTAACATGACAGCTACATCTCTGTTTTCATTTATATCTCCCATGCTAGATAAACGATGAAGGATACAGTTCCTACCATTGACAACAATATAATAGCAACCATCTCCTTTAAATTATATTCATATTACAATACACTAGTTTACCTACTTACATCATGCAAAGATACTGATCGCTTGAGCGATCGGTGAAGGACAAACGAAACGTCCTACACAGTTAGCCATCTAATAAATCTTGGTTCACCACATATAACATTTAACTGTCGCTCAAGCGATTACGGATTCGCTTAGCGCGACTGAACCTGAGCGACCTTACATAGCGGTTAATAAGAACCGCTTTTAAAAATATATATTAGATAGCGGTTAAACGTTAACGCTGTCTAAGGTCCGTGAATAATCGACTATAAGCTATAATAATCGATCATATTCTCTCATTTTTACGAAGTCGCTCAAGCGACTTTATCATCGCTCGAGCGAAAACACCTAATAGAATGGGGATTCTCGGGTTGTGTTTCGCTTGAGCGACTTAGTCTCGCTCAAGCGACATTTGATTGACTTTGCAGAGCGGTTAATATTTTAACCGCTTTTAAAAGTAAACATATAATAAGCGGCTACATGTTAACCGCTATCTAAAATATACTTTTAATAGCGGTTATTTGTAGAACTAGCTCTTTTTAGTAGGTTTAGATAGCGGTTTCCAGAACCGCTATCTAAAGTCCCAATTTTAAAAAAAATTGTTTAATATTTGTTTTGCTTATTTGGTCAAAAAGACTAGGTTTGCTTTAAAATTATCTAAATTCCCAATTTAAAGTCTCGGAACGATTTTAATATTATTGGTTTGTTATATCTTGAAATGTCTACAATTAGGTTTGGTTTTTTTGAAGGTAGTTTGCTTTGTTATCATGCGAGTGATTTTTATTACATGTCTTTCATTGGACGTAATATAGAACCAGATGATTGTTACGTAAATGTATGGACCATCAACTGCTTATAAATGCATTGAAGAAATTAAAATTGCTTGTTACATTGTTATATTTACATCCACAAAATCAGAATGTATAGTCTACACTACTCATGTTGCACGTCTATGTCCTATCATATATACTCTAACAAAATCAGAATGTGGAGTCTACACTACTTGCAAAATTCTATGTTGTAGATATTAACACTTATGTCCTGCAAGTTGAAGAAGAAATCATTAGTATACATGAACGTCATGCACTTCTAAACTAATGTAATATTCATTGTTGACAAAGTATTTCATTAAAAAAACAATGTTTCCAAACCATTTAGTTGAGGAAGACAATTGTGTGCCGTCAACATTACTTGTCAAGTGATGTCAACAATGACACAAAACCGGTGGTACCCAATGTTGATGGTCGCAAAGGGCAACAATTACATGAGTTTTGACAAATGACTTTATTGCCATTTTACATAACATAAACTGCATAAGCAGTATATCAATCCCACAAATAAATTCAAATGAATTGCATATCACACTTTAAATAAAGCAAATTCAATTGAACAATCACTATAACATGAAATAAATTTCATTTTTGACACACACCAATCCGGATGACCGATAATCAACATGAGTTCCTTCGATGTTCCCCTGTAATGGCCAAGATAAGATATTAATGAACTTATGAAATCATCCAATACAAAATAACATGACGAGTTGTGGATATAATACTTACAATATTTGTGGTGCACGTGTCGTTGGCCTTTATTTTGTAACCTTCGCGTTGCACTTTTTTCACTTGTTGATACCTTTCGGAGTGAACGTGGTCTTCCTTTCCTTTTAACATGCAACGGGCTACGAATATCAATGTCAACGTTGTCAACATATAAGCTTTGTGAATTTCTAGGAGTATTACTTTCGCGAGATATTGGTATCTATTTGAGTTTGAGAACGTTGAGATGTATGTGTTGGAGCAAATTTATTCATCATTTCATGCAACATGTCCGTACTGCTCAATTGACTACGATGCAACTTCAGCAATCTCATAAAATCTTTTACACAACTCATCGTATCGTTCAATCTGCGGTTGCTTCTCCTTTACATTGTAGGTGGTTTTCATATAAGTATGCTTCCTTCTCACATTTTTACTCCATCTACTTAAAATGTATTTGCAGGGAATCTTTTTAACCCTTTGTTGAGCAAGGACGACCAAACAATGTCGGCAAAGAATACCTTTGAATTCAAATAGCAAGCACGTGCAACTGACATTTTGGTCATCAAGGTTGAAACTTACATCTGTACAGGTGTTCTTTAGAATCTTCACCACAAATAGATTCCTCCATAACGTCATAAAACCAAGCGAGATCCAAGGCAAGACACATGCACTAACACTTGCAGTTGATTTTTCCTCTAAATTCTGCTTGAACCTCTGCGAATTTTGAATGTGTATACTCCGATTGAAATTGCCTCTCTATCGTAGACTGTGATCCACAATTAATAATTGTATGCATGGATGCAAAATCAGCTTCATATTCCTTCTCAGCCTTGTCTTGTAAGGCATTTTCATACTGCTTGACAAATTGTTGGAGGGATGTCATTGAGGTGATATATCCATCAAAAAATGCATTCATACTTTCACTTTGTTGTGTAGTTGACATCCCAGCCCAAAATTGGTTTTTCAAAAAGCATGGAACCCATCTCTGTTTCTCTTGGAAAAGGCTATTCAACCACTCATTGTCTTGTAAGCCAAAATCGATATGAAATTAGCCCATTTGGATGTGAATTCGAGATATGGTGGAAGACTCATAAACAACCTCCTTCATAGCATACTTCATATTTTTATATTCTGTATAACCTTTCAACTTTTCTGGAATTTTTTTCATTATATGCCATAGACACCACCTATGACGGGCTTCAGGAAAAACTATCTGAATGGCATTTTGCATTGCCTTGCACTGGTCAGTGATAATACCCGTAGGAGCCTTCAATGACATGCAACGTAACCATGATTCAAATAACCAAATAAAAGAAGTGGTGTCTTCACTTGATAACAACCCACACCCTAACAATATGGAGTGTCCATGATGATTTACACCCACAAATGGTGCGAACGGCATGTCATATTTATTGGTCAAGTATGTTGTATCAAATGAAACAACATCGCCAAAGTATTCACAAGCCGCCCTACTTCTAGCGTCGACCCAGAAAACATTTTTTATACGATTATCATCATCCAAGTCTATATCAAAATAGAAATCCTTGTTCAAGTCCCTCATTTGTGAAAAATAATTCAATAGAGCTTTCCCATCACCTTCTTTTCCTAGTGCACGTCTTTGTTTATTGACATAGTTGCGTACATCTCGTTCGACAAATTGGAGGTTTTCATAACCTCCTGCACTACTAACAACTGACCGAAAGCTTTTATTGATCCTCACACCTGCATCATCATTTATGTCTAGAGTCCTCTTCACATGCAAACTAATGTTCCTATTGCTTCGAAACATTCCGGATTTCTTTGGGCTAAGAGAATGTGAATGTTCATCATTCACCGACATAATATACCATAGTCCTTCCTTTAATACAACCGTTATCCGTGCGGGACATGAATTTGTTTTGGTGGGTTGGGTTCTAATTTCGGTAGGTGTAGCGAAACATACTTACCAGCCCTTGCACACACCAACATGAAGTACCGCAATTGGTTATCGGGCCCCTTCTTTGAACTCCTTGTTTTGATGCCAAATCCTTTTTGTATGGCATATTGTCGATAAAATGATTTAACCGCATCTGCAGTTTCAAAGAACATTCCTACACATGGAGCGAGAACCAGTCGTATTACAGTTGTAGTCCCGACATCTGCGTCGGGAGATCCTTCATCATGGCCAACCAACACTTCTTCTTCATGTAAACTTGTGGCATACTGCATTCTTGGGTATTTTATCATGTACACGTATCATTTCTTGGTCTACACCTTTGAGAGGACCATCACATTGTTGTACATCCGCATCACTACCTATGTCATCATACACGGCCAAAATGCCTTCATTGACAACTACATCTCTGTTTTCATTTATATCTCCCATGCTAGATAAACGATGAAGGATACAATTCCTACCATTGCCAACAATATAATAGCAAGTTATATAAGTTCGGAACTTGGAGACGAAAATAGTCAATGTAAATGTTCAATCGTTTATCTACCCAAAAAACACAATTTTAGATCACAATGTAGACAAACTCTAAACGCTAAACCCTAAAAATATATAATGCACTAACTCCCAATAAGCGCGGCCTACAACAACAATGGCGAATGGAGACTGGAACGCGAACTTGGCGACACACAAATATGTTACAATGTAATATGCTTCAATGTGAGCAAGAGAATCAGAAAGATTGAAAATAACGTACCTGAAGCTTAATAGAAGACGCAGAGAGCGACAATGAGAGCGCAGAGAGCGAGAATGAGAGCACAGAGAGCGAGAATGAGAGAGTAGAGAACGG